TATAGGGACTCTTCTTGAATTCTCTTATAATGATCTTATCTACTAAATGCTAGAGGTTAAGATCAATATGTGGAATTTCAAGTTGAGTAAAAAGAAGAGTTTTGAATTTCTAATGGTGGGGGTACCTTTTCTAATTTTCTAGGACTACTCAATAGGAAAGTCCTATGGCTAGACCTAGGCTACTAAAGAAGTTTTCTAGACCTCAACCAAAAGTGAGGTCAACAATTATCTAAGTAAAAATTATTACCAGAAAAGTTTTGAGAGTAAGTTAACAGATGAGATCGAAATGGGCTTTCATGATGAGTCTTAAATGTTGTTTAAAGAAGACTTTATGTATGTTCATGAGGGGTGTGAAATGATGGACGTTACAAAAAATAATAAACTTTTAATTCCATCTGTTGAGAAATCTCATGAACTTAAGATGAATGTACCCTATACTATTTTAAAGTCTACCAATTTAGGGAATTCATCTACACCACCAGTCTTTATATCTTTAGATTTGACTCAATCACAAAAAAAAACCTGAATTGAATGTTGAACAAGATAAAATTATTGAACTAAGACTTGGAAGAGAATTTGAGGAAAAATTTCAAAAAAACTTTGAGTTGAGAAAAGAGGATAAGGATATTGAAAGACCAATGGAAGAAATTCTTATGGAATCAGAAAAACTTATTTCCTCAACTAAGATAGATATAAAAAGACCACCTCCACCATTTACTCAGTATTGAGGGGAAGAATTGGAAGATAACTCGTGGAAAGTTGGAAAATGGATTCTTAGTTTTCTTCAAACCATACTTAAATATGGGTTTTTTCTTCATTGCAGCTCTATCCAGTCACTTCATGTCATTTCTACGTTTAGCTAAGTGGATAACATTGCCAACTAAAAATCATAATTGTGCGTGTTAAGTTACTTCGCCACCAAGTCTTCTACTGAAGCCCAAAGAAATATTGTTTCTCATTCTTCCATCAAAACAAATAGGCTGTCGTTGCATCTGTCACTATGGAAATCACATGGTTATAGTCTGTTATAATAATATTGGTGAAAACTGCTCAATTTTTCATTCAGGAATGATACATATTACCATTTATTTTCACTTCAGTCAGGAAAAAATTCAAATTCTGTGCATATGCACTTACCAAGCCACTCTTATGTAATCATTTCAACTGGTCATGTACTAAGATCCAAGGGTCCAATTAGATAAGAAAATAATTACCATTCTTTATTATGTATTTACTTAGTCTCTCCACATTATTTAGCAAATTATTATAGGCATAATCTTAATTCATACATTTGATAGCAAAACATATAACCAGGGTTTATCAAAAGTTTCTTGGGTAGTTTAAGCATTCAAATTTTACTTATCATATAAAATATTTGTAGAATTTGATCTCCCATATAAACTGCAAGAATCAGAACACACTAATCCCAATAATAATAAATCATAAAACCTATGCCTTTAACAACTAGTCTCTGAAAAGCAACCAAAAATCACCATCATAGCACATTTATAGCTAGAATATTGCCAACTGCTCACACACAAATAAAAAAAAAAACTTTGACAAAAACTATCGTCTTCCATAGACAACAATTAATATGAAATAATTAATCCCAAAATAGTAAGAACGAATAAGCACAATTTTGAACTTGAGAACAACCACAACCGAACTAACTCTAATCCATGTCAAACCACACAAGCCTACCTATTACTATTTTTTTAAAAAAAATTACTGAAAAGTTTAGTTTGTTTATTCCTCCAATAAGTTTTTATGCACAAAACAACCAAGAAAATAAATGAGAAAAAAATACAATTTTAATAAGCAATACTAATTAAAATAGTTTTAAAATAAAAAAATGTCCTCAATAACTTCCTAGTATGCCTTCTCCTCTATCTACCATTTACAGCCTTCCTATGTTTATAGCCGGTGAAAGCGATTTGCGGCTCTCCCTTTTCCTTATTTTCATATGGATTTATGACCTGCATTTTCTTGTTTAACACTTGAATCCATGGCTCATTATCTTCCACATTTACCAATCCCGCCAGGCATTAGGTAGTCTCAACGCAATAAATTAATCCAATAGAGAATGCATGTAAATATTCATCAGTCATGTTTAAAATAAGTTTATGAATAACAATAGTTCATAAAGAAAACTAAACAGCAATTGTATCAAATAATCATCCACTTTATTTCACAGCACATCGTGGTATAATAGAATAGAAAATAGCACCACATAATATATCAATAAAAACATTGTCAAATGAGGCTTAGAATATTGAAGTACCTCAGTTTTGTGAATTTCTTCTGTAATGATCGTCAAGCCATAGTCGCTCACTTTTGCTGCAAGATATTCATCTAATAAAATGTTATGAGATTTCAGTTGATTACTGTAGAAACCAGGAATAACTCCAGTGTGCAGGAAGTGGACCGCCTTAGCTATGCCGATGAGAACTCCCAATCTTTCATGCCACTTCAGAACTTTCTCCATATCGCGCTCTAAATAATTGATTCAAATGCCAAAGACATTATGAATTGTGACCAGAAAAAAAAATCTCAACAAAATCACATTTTTTTCTGGTTGTTTACTTACCAGATAAGTGGGAGCGAAAATTCCCATTTTGTACATATTCATAAACAAGAAAGACCCTATCAACACTAGAATCATCCGCCGCACAATCAATGCAATGTCCTAAGAGGCAAACCAAATGTGGATGGCGAAGTTTTGAAAGTAGGTCCAACCTTAGCTTCAAGTTCCTTATTGAATGTTTTCGAGATAATACCAAACATCTTATAGCGACAAAAATTCCATTTTCTAGCCTCCCCTTATAAAGCTGTAAAGCAAGAGAGGAAAAAAATAAAGCAAACTTCATTACTTAAAATCTTTTAAGAAATCAAGATATTTAAAAGCACTATAAAAATTGAAACATTTCGTATATGATAATTTTTTGTAGATTGAACTTGTTCAGTGGAAAAAATCATTATTATGAGGAAGTTAATTTAAATATAAACATGTTCAACAGAAGTTTGAATTTCAGTAACTACCTTCCCCGCAGTTCCCTCGCCTATATATGATGAACTTTCAAAATTCTTGGTTGCTTCTTTTAAATGCTCCAAGGAGAATGCTCTATAAGTAGGTAGCACTTGGGGGCCAAACTTCATAGCCTGAGAAACAAATCCTGAATACCAATTGAATAAGAAAAAAATATATAATCGAACCAAAATAAAGAAATCTTAAATGCAAAAGAAATCATGAAGTTAGAATATAAGATGGTTCAAGCTAGGTAAAATATTTAAATTATAACTTTGCAAAAAATTAGTTCCAAGAATAGTTTCTGTAACTGAAAAGGCTCCCTTCTCCTTCTTACTAATTGAAATAATATGTTACAAATTTATAGCCACCCCCTCTCTATAGATGAGGAATATACCTCTCTATAGATGAGGAATATACCTGATATAGAAAAGATCTGAAATTAAATTTCATCTAAATAGGTTACCTAATATACAAGCTACCTAACATACAAGCTTTATATTTAGTGTTTTCCATAACACTCCCCTCAAATTGGAGCATATATATATTAATTATGTTCAACTTGTCACAAATATAAGCAAAACTTGCTCCTTTAAGGCCATTCATGAAGATGTCTCCTAGTTGTTTTTGAGACTTTACATGAGTTATAGAAATCAAATTCTATTGAATCTTTTCGATTCATGAAGATGTCTCCTAGTTGTTTTTGAGACTTATAGAAATCAAATTCTATTGAATCTTTTACTGAACAAGATGACAATCTATCTCAATGTGCTTCGTTCATTCATGGAACATAGAGTTAAAGCTAATATGATTTACAACTTGGTTATCATACCACAACCTTGCTGAAGTAGTCATCAAAAAATTCATTTCGATTAGAAATTAGAAGTCCACATCAATTCACTTGAAGCTAGTGTCATTGCTAGATACTCAAATTCTGCACTAGACCATAACATTAAATTTTGTTTCTTACTCTTCTATGAGACCAAATTGTCACAAAAAAAAAAAAATCAATGTTGGATCTACGATCAAAATCTTGAAACTTGCCCAATTTGCATCATAGAAGTATTCAATATGTTTATGCCCATGATTATGATATAGAATCCCTTTTTCAAAAAATCCTTTGAGGTAACATAGTATCTATAGCTGACTAATGATGGACTGCGGGGAATGAAATGAACTAATTTATAGTGATAACAAAATATGCAATGCCAAGACAAGTCATAGTGAGGTAGTTTAAATTCCCCAATAACTTCCTATATTATTTAGGATCATTAAAAAGCTCTCCATCCTTGGTAAGTTGTTGATTAGAAGCCATCAGGTACTACATAATTCGGCCCCTAATATCCCTGTTTCTACTAACAAATCCAAAACGTGCTTCTGTTGAGATAGAAATATACCATTCTTGCTCCTTGACACCTCATTTCTAAGAAGTATTTCGAGGAATACAGATTGTTAGTGTTGAACTGATTTTGAAGAAATGATTTCAATGATAAGATCCCTTGCAAATGATAAGATCCCTTGCACATCACTTCTAGTAATAATAATGCTATCAATATAAACCACCAATATATTGATTCATAAAAGCAGATTGCTTATAAAATACAGTATGATCAATTTTATTTTTTTGCATCCCAAATTCTTATATTGTTTGGCTAAATTTTTCAAACCATGCTCGAGATCTTTGCTTCAATCCATATAGAGACTTCCAAAAATGGCATACTTTCGCAGATTCCCCATGAGCAACAAACACAGGAGGTTGTTCCATGTATACCTCTTTCAAAAGATCACCATGCAAAAGAACATTCTTCAAATCCAGCTGGTAGAAGGGCCAATTATTCATTGTGGCCAAGGACATAAGTAGGCGGATTGAAGTTAACTTAGCTACTAGAGAGGAAGTGTCAAAATAATCAATCATATAAGTTTAAGTATAACCCTTAGCCACCAACCGAGCATTGAGACAAAAATGAAACTTAACTGCAAAGACCCACTTACAGCCAACAACCTTCCTTACATAAGGTAGTTCAACTAGTTCTCAAGTTTTTAGTTTATGCATTCATCTTATCAAGCATTGTTGCCCTCCACCCATAATGAGATAAGGCTTGCTGAATAGATCTTGGAACCTCAATAGAGTTAAGAGAAGCAACAAACGAGCACGAAGTGGAAGATAATTTATTATAGTTAACACGAGAAAATGGGATAAACGCATTGAAGTTTAAGTAAATTAAGATCAATGGGAGGAGGATCCACTGAGGAAGATGATAATGATATCGGACTAGGATTAGGGGAATGAATTCTTCTCAAGTAAGCATTAATGATGGGTAGTTTGGGTTGAGGCATTATAGATGGAGCTAAAGCAGAATCTGAACTTATGATGTGATACGTTAACAAATCATCAAAATCTAGTGATGATTTACATATTGATGAGTCACCAAAGAATAAGATTTGTTCATGAAAAGTGATAACAACATAAATCATGTACCTCTTTAAGAAAGGGAAAAAATATCGATACTCTGTTTGTAGGCAAGAATATCCTAGAAAGACATCAGTTTGAACACTTGAGGATGAGTATTCCGAACAAAACAAGTAAATCCAAATATATGTGATTCAATAGAAAAGCGAGAGTAAGCTGGAAAGAAAACATGGCGGGACGTCTAGTTCTATAAAACAGAAGAAGACATTCAATTGATAAAAAAACATGCAGTAGATACTGCATCATCCCAGAATTATTTAGGCACATTCGTTTAAAACAAAAGAGCTCTAGCAGTCTCAAGAAGATGTCTATTTTTTTTTCAGCTATTCCATTTTGGGATGGAGTATCGATACAGGATTACTGACGAAGCATCCTTCTTTGTGTCATGTACTTCTGAAAGGGTGTAGAATAATATTCTTTGGCGTTGTCATTTCTCAAAATCTTAAACGAAACATTCAATTGAGTTTTAATTTCAACTCAATTATTAAAATATGATAGTACCTCAGTATGGGGTTCTATAAAGTAATATCAGGTCATATGAAAAAAAAATTATCCACAAAGTTGACAAAATATCAAAATCTATTAGATAAAATAGGATAAGATCCCTCATACATCAGAATGAACTAAAACAAAACTATAAATGACTCTTTTATTAATTCTGAGAACAAAATACAAACAATAGTGTTTATTAAATTGACATGACTCACAATCTAAAGATCATAACTATTGAAATTGAGTGTACAATATTTTTAACATTTATAGGGATGTATGTCCTAATCAACAATAAATCTCAAAAAGGAGATAAGTGCTAGAACAAGCTATGAGTCGAGGTTCCTAATTATCCAAAATATATACCCTCATTCTCGTCCTTTACTGATAAGCTTATTCGTTATAAGTTCCTGAACTAGACAATAATCGGGAATAAACAAGATATAACGATTAATATCACATGTAATTTTGCTGATACAAACAAGTTAAAAGATAAATGAGATGAACTAGACAATAATCGGGAATAAACAAGATATAACAATTAATATCACATGTAATTTTGCTGATACAAACAAATTAAAAGATAAATGAGAAAAATGAAAATAAAGTTAGAGGCAACGACAATGTAATATTGAAGGTGTCATAACCAAGAATATTAGAGGTAGATCCATTTGTTAAAGTGACTGAAGAGAGGTGTGTACTATAGGTAGAAAAGAGTTTTGGATTACCTGTCATGTGATATGTATGACCAAAATCAATGACAAGAATCATTGTTACATGACTCAAAAAGGGAGGTGATAGATGAGGATTTCTTGGATGCTTCCTGAAATTTGATGAACTTGGCATATTTATTTGCAAAGATCGAGAGAGTCTGACTTATAGAGGCCTCAGTAGTAATGATAATATGAGCTAATTATGATTTAGAACCCTTTTAGTTCTTTTTGAGCAACTTATAACATATTCACTTTGTATGACCAGGTTCATGACAGTAATAACATACTATCTTCGACCTTTGATTTCTAAAATTCAGAGTTCTACTTCTGCAACTATCTTGAGACAGAGGTTACCGATATTCGCATTTTTTTGATTAGCAGAGAACTAGATTGTTGTACGGATGAGGTCTAAGAACTCGGGATCGTACACAGTACACTAGTATAGTCTTCTTTTAGAGTAGTATATCCCGGGTTAGATAAGATTTATGATTTAACACTTTCATATTGAGAGTTGAGGGTAGTTAGAAAACATATGATAGTCATTTTTTCTCTTTGAGCCTATTGAATTTGGACATCAGAACTGAATGGTAGTGGTGTGTTCAATTCTTCATACATACGTTTAAAGTGCATGTAATACATGTTAAGTGACAGATTTTGTTGTTCAACACGATGAAATTCCTTGTATCAATATTTCATAAATATTTTTTTCCCAGATAACACGCCAATTCCTCCATTGGATCTTCAACACAGTCGCAATGATTAATATGACCGGATTGATCAAGATCGATAGAATTTCATATTTGTATTAAAAAATTGAGCATCCACTCAAAATAATTCGACTCAAGTCTCAACCGAAGGATTATCAATGAGATGACTATCTTGAGAAATACTCCTTGAATAGCCTCACAGTTTTATTCTAGTTAAAATAATTGATGTCATTTAACTTTTCATCAGTCAACTTAGCTGCTGATGAAAGCAAAACTGTCACAAGATGTTTGTGTTCACTATCTATAATCGATGTTATTAAGTACTAAAAGATGAACCACCAAAGCACTTAAAGGCAAATAATACCCTAACCCACTGATTAACAATCTTCAAATAAAAGACAAACAAATTTATCCCGAAGAACTGAGAAGGTAGATGCAGACCGAGCATAACTAGTAGAACATGTCAGCTTTATCGATTCCCTAAGCTCGTCGACACAGATAAGGCGGACAAAGCAGATCAAAATTGAAAGCGAAGTCAATGCAGATGACACTGTTCGAAGCGAAGGACTTTTAGGAAGCCAACGATGAGAGTATGGATTAAGGAAATATTTAAAAAGGGAGTAGATCTAGAGATCATAGTTCTTAAGTATCCCAGATACCTCTCATATCCACATTTTGACTTACACAGCTACAAGGGGGATGCTTTTTGCTCTTGTTGCAACACCATTTTCAACTTTCCATAATCTGTAAATACTCAACAAATTAAACTACATGTAAATACTATTTATTTCAGGTACTAAATTTACAGTTTAAATTCCTTAAAAAAGAATTACAAAATAAACACACTTGCAATCTTCTTTTACAACATATAAACCTCGCAGAAGAGATTATGATAACTTCGTCGAGGCTGAAAAGATTCAAAAGACTCAAGCTGTATAAGAGTTAGATCACCCATCCATGGGAGGAAGAATCAGAAAAACCTATGCATCTTTCAAAATCCAATTGTTTTCATAAATAAAAAACCCAGCTATTGGATACTGTCTAATATCTATTATTGAAGAACAAAATAATGATAAGAGTGAACGGGTGGATGAGCCAAAACTTTGAAGAACTTGTTATAAAGTTCATTTGTCTGAATCAAAATAACCCAGCAAACTGTCAACAGAAAGGTAGCATGAAGCAGGTATCACGTGCTCAAGTTCACGGCTGGGAGAGTATCTCTTCCACAACTGGGTTCAGCAACTACTTGCCTTATACATAGTTTTATTATTATTGTTTCTTATTTTCTTTATTTGCTTTCTGCTTTAGTTAATTTGTAATTACTTGTTATGAAATGGTTCCCCCTTAGTTAGTTACGGACACTCGCGTCTTCCATATAGGAGAGTGGTGTATAGAGTATACGACAGATATGTCATTCTTCCTTTCTGAATTACTGAAGTTCCCTTTTCTTCTTCCTCCCTGTTGCTCTCAGCTTGTGTGATCCATCAATAACACAATTCCTATATACTTACATATCTACCACTGAAACTTTGATGTTTACATGCACTCGAATTTTTAACATCACATCAAAAATATCACATTTACTAATTTATTAGAAGTGACATACACCTTTTCATGCATAAGTTTATAACACCAAAGTGTTATAAATGTAGATATCAAACTTCAGGTGTAAGATATGTAATACATAAGAACTGAGCGGTATGTATGCAAATTTCCAAAAAAAAAAAAAAAGAAGAAGCATGCAGCACAAAAATGCAGACAAACCAGCTAAAACAATATCAAGTGAGAAGATAACTTTCCTAAAATACAATACTTACTAGCATTCGTAAGAAGCTCAGAAGACAACCCTGAAGCTGAATTATCCAAACCAGGCTTAGGCAATAAACTCTGTTCCGAAACAGCTCCTGCTTGCTTTCTTCTACAGTAGCACAGAAAGAAAAGCAACAGAAGCGCAATGAAAGCAACCCCTCCAATGACAGCAACCAGTAAAACCAAACTCTTGATCTTCGAAAACTTCCTCTTGGTATGAGTTTTACAGTATGAAGCTTCATGCTGATGCAGAGAATCTACTATCAAACAATTTCCATCAACCTTAACAACTCTGTTATTTGAGTTAGAGCTCAAACAAGAAGGCAATCTTCCCATAAACAAATTTGTAGAAATATCAACAAATCCAAGTTGGCTTCCACATGTTAAACTGACTGGAAGAGAACCAGTGAGCTTGTTAGATGCTATATTTACATAGCTGATGTTAGGCAATGCAAAGAGTGATGGCGGCGGAGTCCCTTCGAGCAAGTTGAACGACAAATCAAGGTGTTGAAGCTTAGTTAACTCACTGAGCTGCCCGGGAATCTCTCCAGTCAATTTATTCTTACCAAGTAACATCGTGACGAGCATTTTAGGCATGTGTGGAAGTTCAGAATCCAACTCATTGTCTCCCATATCCATTACTTCCAACCGAAGCAACCCACTCAAATCAGGTATTTTACCTGATATGCTATTATATGACAAAGAAATACCAGTAAGGGTATGAAGCCTTCCAATAGACAAAGGCAATGGCCCCTTAATTCTATTGTGCTGCAAGCTCAAATTTGTAAGATTTGAGAGCAAATCAAACCAGTCAGGAATAGTTTCATTGAAGTAGTTTCCATCCAATGCCAATGTCTGTAGCATTGTCATAGAAGATATCTTAGGAGGAATTGTTCCATAGAAAAAATTTGAACTAAGATCAAGCACTTCAAGCAGAGAGAGCCTATGAATTTTATCAGGGAGAGGACCCCATATCCCCAACGAAATCAAAATAACAACTTTCAAGCTAGGCAACCTCGTCAGAGTAGTGAAAAAGGAATCAACAGAGAAGGCGGGTGATAGAGTTTTACCCCAAACAGAATAGCCATTGAACTTATCAGGCTTGGCAAGCTTATCACCCACAATCTTGAGCTCAGTCACCGAGTTGCCTACACAGATCACAGTTAGAACAGGAGTTGTGGGAAGGTAACAGATGTTTTGCGTATAGTTCCAAGCTTCCAGCTGTTTGGGGAACTCTAGCTGTTTCCTTAGCTGCTGCAGAACCTGTGTTTGAGATGATGTGTACTGCTCGGTAATTGGGGGCAGCCAAACACAAGAAAGCACAATCACAAGAGCCCGGAGAAAACGCGACATGGCAGAAGGGTTTCTGGTTTTTTTTCCTGGTAAGCCCTTCAGTGGTCATGGAGCAGTTGAGCCTGAGTATTTAAAATCGGTGAGAGAAAGTAGAAGAAAATGGCTCCTTTTGTGAATGGTTTAGATCTCCGGGGCATTTCAATAACCAAAAGGATCATTTTTCCTAGGCTCGGTAAGATAAACTAAGCATAAATATGAAGATTAAAGCACAATGTGCTGTATTCCTAAGGAAAATGTCTTGGAAAATCAGAAAGAGGAGAGCTTTGAAACAGAGGGAAGAAAAACAAAGCAAAGAGAAGCTAACCTGATATTTCCAACTATAAAAAAGGAGAATCAATCTTCCCCTTGTCTGAAATGGTGGAGAGACGACGGTTGGCTTGCGGAAGCTTTGAATTCGAAGAAAATGAGAAGTGGTTTGATGAGCCAAGAAGATGCAGTTGCGGACGTGGTAGCACATTTAAGGCAGCCACATGGACGTTCCCAATGCAGCAGGATAACATGTCCTCGCCATTAAAGTAGTTGGTCCTGGTCGAACTGTTTGGGAACTACGGTTGCCTCGGTTCCGTATCCTATATAGCCTTTCCCCTCTGCTAGTTTGAAATTTCGTCTGATTGACATGCTTGAAAAGACAAGATTACCCAATGATTTGTTGGTAGCTGTTTTTCTAGATTTTAGCAAATTTACTTGTTTCATTTGGTGTATTTACATTTCTAACATCTAAACTTCAGCACAGGGCCTTATGCATTAAAAGCTGTATTTCACTTTTCCAAATTGAAAAATTAGTATTTTATAATATAACAGAAAAATGATTGTTTATATCTTTTTCAATGAATCAATAAGAGCATATTCTAGATAATTGGCCGACAATCTTGGGCCGACCACCCATAATGAGTCGGTCGGCCTCCTTGGGTCAGCCACCAACTTTCAGCCAGCCTGCCACTCATCACTAGCAGGCCGACCTCATCCGGCTGACTAGAAAACTCCAATCGTCCGACCACGATAAGTTGGCTACCAAACTCCAACCGGCTGAAAACCTTGGCCAACCACCCAAACAGTCGGCTGGCCAGCCGAAGCCGACATACTTCAATGCTTCAGGACAACAGATCCGAGCGAGGAAAAACCAAAACACTTTACACTGCTATCCTTAAAGCAATGCACTTTTGTAATATCATTTTCTCCCTTTTTTTCTTCTATAATAAAGAAACCTGCAACATGTAAAGGATATATCTCGCTCCCTGGGCTCTCCTCTCTCAACACCATATCTAGGAAGAACTCTCCCTTTTCCCTCTCTTATAATCCCCAAGTTCAATGGAATAAATGTTAGCGTTGGAGCCCGATAGAACCGCTCCCATTTTCGCGAAACGACGCCAAATCCCGCTCCCGCTCTCCCGATTCGCGAAGAGTCGCGCCTCCCGTCTCCTTTAAGTTGCAAACAAAAGAGAAGAAAGTTGAGTAGTCAAGTTTTGAGTTCTTCTTCGGGCTTTCTCGGGATATAGGAAGAGTTCTTCAAGCTTCCACGGGACAGTGGAAGAGAAGTGAAAGGAGGAGTAGTTCATTGCGGTGGAGGAAGAAGGAAGAAGGAAGAAGAAGAAGAAGATTATTCTCCCTTGCCTTTTCTTGGTGGTTTGTGGCAGAAGAGAAATTGAGTTTATTTCTCTTGTAAGTTTATCTTCTTCGATGTATCTCGGTATAGAGTTTATTCGGTGTAGAGAGAGAAGAAGAGAGAGTAACGAAGTGAGAGATTCCTTTTGTAAGTCGAGGTGATCGACTGGTGTAAATTCCTCAAATAATAAAATTCTCTGCAGCTCCATGGACGTAGGCAATTTGTCGAACCATGTAAACTTGTGTGTTCCGCTTGGTGTTACTGTTTTCTGGTGTGATTTTTCTCGTTGTATTTTTACACACACACACACACACACACCACATCAACTTGTGTATATATCTAGATCTCGCAACTACAATTGGTATCAGAGACAAGTTAAGATCTGAGGAAGAATAATGACTGCAGATGAAGTGAAAGTTTCAGATATCAAAAATTTGATGGCACAGATTTTGGTTATTGAATGACGCATATAAAGTACTATCTCTATGGGAAGAAACTTCATCTTCTGTTATTGGGGAAAAGACCTGAAAGGATATATGAGGCTAAATGAAATTTGTTGGATCGACAAGTTTTGAGGGTTATTCGATTGACCCTATCGAGGTTCATTGCACACAACGTCGTCAAATAGAGGACTTGACAATGGATCTCATGGCAGCTTTATTATGTATCTATGAAAAGCCATCGACAAATAATTAGACGCACATGATGAAAAAGTTATTCAACTTAAAGATGGCGGAATATGTGTTTATTGCTGAACACCTGAATGATTTCAATATTATCACAAATCAATTGTCGTCGTTGAAATTGATTTTGATGATGAGATACATGCGCTGATATTGTTGGCTTCGTTGTCAAATAGTTGAGAAGCCATGAGGATGACATTTAACAGTTTTGCAGGTAAATCTAAACTGAAATGCGATGATACTCGTGGTTTGATTTTGGTTAAGGAGATGGCATGGTCTCAGGTTTGAGTTCGGCACTGAATGTTGATTTCAGAGGGAGATGATATGACAGGAACTCAAGTATAGGGAGATCAAAATAAAAGTATAGTCAGCAGACAACCTGCTGTAATTGTGGCAAGGCTGGCCACATAAAGAAGAGCTGCAGGAATCCCAAGAATATGGAAAATGATAGCGCAAATGTCGTATCTGAAGATGTACAAGATGAACTATTGCTGGCATTTCATAGTTTTGTTGATGATGAAAGTGAAGAGGAAAGTGGGTCCGGGGCACCCATTCTTATTGTTCCACGGACAGATGATGGAGAACTAAAGAGCTATGAAGAAATCTTGCAAGATGAAAGTTCGAGCAAGTGGGAGCCGACAGAACTTCCACTAGAGAAGAAGACCTTACACAACAAGTGGGTGTACCAGGTGAAGACTGAGTGTCATGACAGTAAGAGGTACAAGACTAGACTTGTTGAAAAAGGCTTTCAACAGAGGCAGAATATTGCCCATGCAGTAGGAGTTGCAAGAAGAGACAAGAGTAATCCATAAAATAGCTTGGAGGTGCAAGGCTATGTGGACCCTGCTGAGGGTGTTACTCTTGAGAAACTGAAGTTGTGTATAGCTTCAGTTGGTCTTCTAGAGTGAAGATATGACTTTAAGTGAAGACAGGACTTTGAGTTGCAGAGGTGGAGGATTCACAGTGGAAGATTCATGTTTGAAGAAAAGGGCGACATGGTCGGTGGAGGATTCAGTTCGAGGAAGAAGACGTTAAAACATGTGTATCGGTCTCCAAGTGGAAGATTGTTAGCGCTGAAGCTCGATAGAACCGCTCCCATTTTCGCGAAATGGCGCCAACTCCCGCTCTCGCTCTCCCAATTCGCGAAGAGTCGTGCCTCCCTGTTGTCGCTAACGGTTCCCGCCTCTCGTCTTCTTTAGGTTGCGAACAGAAGAGAAGAAAGTTGAGTAGTCACATTTTGAGTTCTTCTTCAGGCTTTTTCGGGATAGAGGAAGAGTTCTTCAAGCTTCCACGAGACAGTAGAAGAGAAACACAAGGAGGAGTAGTTCCTTGCGGTAGAGGAAGAAGAAGGAAGAAGAAAGAAGCAGAAATAGATTATTCTCCTTTGGCTTCTTCTTGGTGAATTGTGGCAGAAGAGAAATTGGGTTTATTTCTCTTGTAATTTTATTTTCTTCGGTGTATCTCAATGTAGAGGTTCTTCGGTGTATCTCAATGTAGAGAGAGAAGAAAGGAGAGAGAAGAAAGGAGAGCAACAAAGTGAGAGATTCCTTTTGTAAGTCGAGATGGTCAACTGGTGTAAATTGGTGTAAATTCCTCAAGTAGAATTCCTCAAGTAGTAAAATCCTCTGTAGCTCCGTGAACGTAGGCAATTTGCCGAACCACGTAAATCTGTGTGTTCCAATGTGGTGTTACTGTTTTATGGTGTGATTTTTTTTGTTCTATTTTTTGCTTTGTCGATCGTTCTCCTATTTTTTTATATATATATATATATATATATATATATATATACCACATCAACTGGTGTATATATCTAGATCTCGCAACTACAATAAAAGGGGTCAAAGAGCCCAGGAACAACTTTCTTACAAGTATTACTCTCATTCTTCTTCTTTCCCTCAGTTCTCACGCTTTATGTCTTAGGCATGATCTACATAATAAATCTGGCTTCAACATTTTATGCGGTTAGCATGAAATGTGCCACAAACAAGAAGATGAGCACCTGAAGGAGGAGGAAATCTTGAACAAAAAAACAAAAATAGAGAAAATAAAAATAAAAATAAAAAAGTAGAAGAAGAGAGAAAAACCTCCCCCACACTTCAAGCATCCAAAAATTCGTCTCCAAACTTGACTCAGAAAAGCTGTGGATGTGATTCTATGCCCAGTAGCGATAAGCTCCGAGAAAGGTACAACGTAAATCACCCCAATGACGAGTCTTGACGGTTACCCCCTCGCTTAAGACTTGGCAAAAGATGCGGTTTGACCGAGCCGACGATCCAACCGAGCAAATTAGACGAGTGATGAGTAAGACTTGAGTTATGTAGAACCACATTTAAAAATCCAAGGAATCAATTGATGATTTCTTTGAGGAACGGGTCACCGATCAACACATCAAAAGATAATAGAAATAAGACAAAAAACTACAAAAACAAAGGGAGTATAAAAAGTAACTTGTTAAAATTATATTTTTAGTCTTCCATTCTTATTGCAATTACTCTTTGAAGAGGTAGAAAATTTAGGGGCTTTATGTATAACAGAAAAATGACAACTTGTAGCACTTCGATGAACCAGTAGGATTGGACAATCGATTGACCACCCATAACCAGTCCTTCGGCCTCCTTGGGTTGGCCACCAACTTCCAACTGGTCAGTCACCACATTCTCGCGGCTGACCACCATGGGCTAGCCATCACCAGTCGTTACACCTCAATCGACCGACCACCCATCACCAACCGGTTAGCCTCATTTGGTCGGCCATAAATTCCAGCTGGCCGACCACATGACTACAGTCGGCTGACCACCTTAACTGGCCACACCCAATAACCCTTGGTCGGCTTTCTAACGCCGACGAATGCCAACACCCAAAACTAAAGATCTAAGCAATGAAATGACCAAAATACCCTGAATTGTCCTCCTTAAAGTAATGAGACGTTTGCAATATCATTTCCCCTTTTTTTTTCTTCCACAAATAGAGGAACATGTAACATGTAAAGGATCCTTCTTCTCTCTCACTTGGGCTTTCCTCTCTCAGCCCCATATGTAGGGAGAACTCTCCCCTTCCCCTCTCTAGAAATCTCGAAATTCAGGGGAATAAAATGGGCCAAAAAGCTTGAAAACACCCCTTTTCTCCCCCCATAGGGCAAGCCTTTATTTCTCTCTCTCTTTCTTTCTCTCTTTCCCTTCGCTCCTTTCCCTTGGTTCTCGCACACTATACCATGAACATGGTCTATCGGACAAAAGCTGGCTTCAACATTTATGATATGAAAGATTTTGGTGGTATAAATATAAAAACCAAAGTTTAAGTGTTAGATATGTAAATACATAGGAATTGGGTGATATGTATGTATACAACAAAAATGAGCAGTGACTCACCTAAATGGGCCTCTTGCCCGCTTTATGCCTACTAAGGGGAAAACCTCAAACAAGATGATAGAGGCGATCAACCTAACTTCACCAGACTCGGATGACTATTGCTCTAATTGAGATGATCATATATGAAGGGTTGAATGCTAATGGTCGGATACGATGGGCCAAGTGTGAATATAGTAGGCCAAATGCAAAAAAAGAGAGATTCTTGATTATCTGCTAATTAATCATTTGAATTAAGGGTGAAAATTGTCGAGAGAAAATGTTAAAGGAAGACCAAAAATTTAAACAAATTAAGTTTAATGATGATGTGACCATAAAATAAATGGATGTTTGTAAGGGTCCAAAAATCATTATGACGAACACTTATTTCCACATAGGAATCACCCCTTATAAAAATGAGAGGATTTCATATAAAATATATGCTCAATTTTTAAATCCAATCTCTAGTTGTTGGAACCATGTTCATCATTGTAATGACTCAGCTCCTCTCTCTCTCTCTCTCTCTCTCTCTCTCTCTCCCTCTCCCTCTCTTCTTCTTTATGCTTTATTCTTTGGGAGTGATTTACAAACAAAAATGAATTCTATATATTTAAAGACCCCTAGATTTTTTTTTGGTCTGATAATAACCTAAATTCTTTGAACCGGGCTGGCTAGTCTTTCACATATTTCTTCCCCTCCATGCCACTATCATCTCTCCCTCATACCAAATAACTTGGTTCATCTTGTATTCCATCAAACCTAGTTTATTTTATCTTTATTTGTTATTCATATGTAACCTCTTGAACAATTGAAAATTAATAAGCAATAATTTTCTTACCCTAGTTTCTTTCTTGATATTGTATCATAGAGCATTTTAAGTCACTCTCTTTCTTGATTTTGTGAGGTTGTATCCATCATTTGGTCTTCAATTGTTTCATTCTCGATTGTGCTTAATGTGGAGATTTGAAGGTTCTTATAGTCTCAGTCCTCTATCTCCTATTCTCTTCACCATTGCCATGATTACCTTTTTTTTATTGTTGGAGAGAGAAAACACATTGAAATTTTTTGTGTCTCTCATTTGTTATTTATAGATGACCGGCTCCTTGTTATGGACAAGGCCATTCAATGCACCATTCATTAGCTTAAGCATAATATTGACATTCTTCTTTTATTTATGGGTTTGAAAGTTAATTATTCTAAATTTGTAAGTTACTTTTCCTCTTATGTGGGATGATCTACAACATATTGAGTTTTCAAATATGTATTCCCTATTTCTTATATGGTGTTACCCATATCTACCACAAGTCTTATAGCTAAAGATTAACTCCTAATTTTGGAATGAATTAATGGCTGGTTAATAGGATGTGAATTCAACAACATGCTCTTCTCTTAAGACATACGCACACACATGCGAGCGCATAGTGTGAGCATGATTTGTAGACAATTTGAACTTTAAGCTAAACATGTCCAAAGTTCAAGCTAAGCTATGGTGGTGACCTATGATTGGGTAGTTTCTTGCTCCCCAAAAAGGAGAAAAAATACAATACTTAAGAAAGTCACCCAAAATTATATAAATTATTAATTAAAATGGGCAAAAAAGTGCTCTAATTAACATCATATTGGTTAGAAACAAATAATGAATTCCATGGTATTAAACCAGAGGACATCCCAATGAAATAATGGTAAAGAATTTTGCAGCATGTGTTGCTATCAAAACTTATAATGCAAATGATATCACTATATAACTAAAAACGAGAATAATACTAAAATAAATTAGCAAGAATTGAATATTGTATGGATTAAAAAAATTGGCCCATCAACTTAAAAATAATTACGACCCATTAGCTTAAGAAACCTCATTAACTAGTTATAGCATTTTAACGATGGCGTTCATAGTTCATTTTATAGATATATATATATATATATATATATTACAACAAGCGAAGAAAAAAAAAACATTCTAATGAGAGGCACACGCATACATATAGATATAAATACATATATAGACATATACAAATATGTAAATACATGTACAGACATGTACATACATACATACATATACAGACATGTACGTACACATACATATATATACAAACATGTACATACATATACAAACATGTGCATACATGTACGTATATATATACATGCACATACGTACATATATAGACATGTACGTACACATACATATATATACAAACATGTACATACATATACAAACATGTGCATACATGTACGTATATATATACATGCACATACATACATACATTCATACATATATATGCATACATATACCTACCTACCTACATACATACATACATACATACATACATACATACATACATACATACATACATACATAAATATATATAGATATATAAATACATATGTGTACACACACGCACACACATAATATGTGATTGTATGTATGCATGTATGTTTGTGTATGTATGCATGTATGTATATATTTATAATACTTATATTGTGAGCTAGCTACTTATAATACTTTTTCATGTGATAGTTCTAATAACATATAAGAACGTTTACACACAGAGCGTGCATGCAACTAAAAGATAATTTTTTTTATTTATCCTTTTAATTTCTCTAATTACACATTTTATAATACTTATATGCCATCTAGCTACTTATATTACCTTTTCATGTGATAGTTCTGATAACATATAAGAAAGTTAATAAGAGGTTAATAAAATTAAGGAAATTTGTTTTTGCAAGGCAAAAAAAAAGTATTGTGCTAGCTATTTTCGTGAACCAGGTCAAATTATGGTACTAGTTGAAAGAAATTAAATAATATTTGAGTACATCATAAATTACAAAATTTTATAATAAGAAAGGAAAAAATGTAAAATGTGTCCTTTATTTAATTGGGATTGGCATCTTCTCCTGGAAGGATAGGAGCATATAGATATCATATAGGGCAATCAACGCTTTTCCACATGGCAGTTGAAGTGGGAAGCAGCAAAAATGTATCCGCCATCCGGCCTTCACCGTTGATTAGTACTTTCATTATTATTACTTTTTTTTAAAATAGGAAAGACCGGAATACAATTTTACTCTGATCAACGGTGAAGATCGGACGACGCATGCATTTCTGCATACGCCGTCCGTATGGAATAATTTTTTCTATTTGAAGAGTTTCATACTGTTAATAAGGGTGTAACCGAG